AACCGAGAAAAAGTCCATGGGAAGAACGCCAGCAAAGATAAGCCTCTTTCCAGCTAAACACTAATTGACTTCAGCAATTCTAACTGCGCAGTTGCAAACTTATATACGTAGCTCCCAGCTGCAAGCCACGAGGCGGATCATGGTAATCTCCTCTTGAGTAGACCTCACTTTTCCCTGATCCTCTCCTCCCTGCGTGACCTAGGATGGAGAGGGGATGGGCCTGGATCCTCCTCTGACTGCTCAGCCGGCCTCTGCCCTTCCCCAGCCTCCTCCACCACCTCTGGAGCCACACTCCCACTCCCTGTTGGCTGTTCCTCCTCTTCCTCAGAGTCAGACTCCACCAGGGCCATGACAGATATTTCTGTCCAGCAAGTCATTCTGTGTGCATATTGTCCCAGGGCCACTCTAAAAGATGGATAGTTGTTTGAATAGCGACATATTTGCAGTTAACATCCTTGTCTTCTGGGAGAAGTTATCTGGTTTTTAGTTCTAGCCAAATCAGTGTGCAGTTTATTTAAATATCTCCAAACTTTCTACTCCAGGAATTCCTCAAGCAGTTGTATCCAATTATGAAAATGTTTAACTTAAAAGTTTCCATCTTTTTAATCATTGTCTTTAAGGTGTACTTGTAGACAATTTGAAAAGTTCCTGCAGACATTTCCTTGCTGGTCTGCAGTTTTTCCAGACATGTTGCTTTCACATAAGCAAAATGGCTTGCTCCTTTTCAGAACACTTGAATGGGGATATTTATTGCCCACCTCAACTTGAATTTCAGAAATCTACCATATTAATATCCCTTGTATTTCTTTTTCTATGAGTTTAGGTTCAAATGATATGGTCCAGAAAAATGCCTGCTATAATAGTCATAAATTTATGACCCATAGATGAAGGAAAGTGTATCCTTTGTATTGGAATACATCACAATGAGGCTGATTTGAAACACTATAACCTGTTTTTAGTCACCAGAGCTGCAAGTTGAAGAAATTTTAAAAATACTATTTTTTATTTTAATAAAAAAGTATTCTGAAGCGGCTTCCGGTTTTGCCAGGCTTCGGTGGCGGCGGGGTTTCGCGATTGTGCGCGATCCCTGTTGCGCTAGCCGTCTTGGTGCCTCCGATCCCGACGGGTCTGGAGGATAAGGCTGCCCCGTAGAGGCAGCCGAAGATGGGGGGGGATCCGGACAGGGGTTTGGGGTTTTCGCAGACCCTCTCCCCACCCGGCATAACCCCCTTTTCTCAAGGCGGTGGAGCGGCGGTCAGCAATGGCCGCCACAAAGAAGCCGGCAGTTGGACAAGATTGTGCTGGAGGAAGAATGAGAAAGTTTTGAAGCGAAAGTTTTTTGGCTGAACTGGGACTATAACATGCATTTAATATCCTGAAAATCTTGATTTTTTTGAAAGATACTTTGTTTCCAGAAGAGATCTATAAGTGGCGAGTGAAAGTGCTGAAAGAGAAAGTTTACTCTCCTTCCCTATGGAATCAACAAATGGATATTGAAAAGCCTGCTATTTTACAGAAGGTAAAAATTTAAAGCTTTTTGTTACAAGTGGGAAGGGAGAGGACAAAAGAAAAATTTATATTAAGATTTTGTTGGAGGAGATGCCTGGAAGATTTTGAGATTGGAAGTTAATCGCAATAAGACTTTAAAATACAGATTGTTTTTTTTTTCCCTTTCCAATTGATACTACCCCAGGAAAAAAAAATGTGAAGGGAAGAACTTTGTGCTCTGTTTGGATTGTTTGATGACTTTGGGATTTTGGGGAATTGTTCTAAGCTTTGAATTATCTTGGTTGTTTTAAGAAGAAGAAGAAAAAGAAGAAAGAAGAAAAGGTTTATAATGGCTTTATCTGTTGATGAACTGAGAGAGGAATATGGTAAAATAAAGAAAGAAGGCAAAGACGCTGTGAGAGAAATTTTTCGCTTTTTAGAAATGGCGCTTGCTACTTATCAGCAAACACAACAATTGATGGAGGAAGCAGAAGAAGAAGAAGAAGCCATCTTTAACGAATCTACAAAGTTGATTAAGAAAGGAAGGAGAAAGAGAGGAAGGAAAAAGGATATAAGACTTAAACAAACATCCAAGAAAGAGAAAAATAAGATGCAAAATCAATACAATGTTGGAAAGCAAAAGAAAAGAGAAATACAACAGAGAGGGGAAGCTAAGGGGGGTAAAAAGACCAGATGGGATAAGATAGGAAGGAAGAAGGGGGGGGAAAGCCACAAAGGTATGAAACAAGATGTGAAAAAGAAATTTTTTTTTTAGGGATAAAGGGTAATGTATAACTTTGTTTCAAAAGGATTCTGCAAGGTACATAAGATAGTATTGTAGTATTTGTATTAGAAATAGAAAATTAGAACTTTATAAGACTTAAGTAAAGATTAAAACATTAAAGGTATTAAAAGGAATGTTTAAGATATTTAGTCTAAGTATAGAGTTTAATTGACTATTGTGTGGATGTTAGTATGAACTTATTATTGTAGCATTTGTTTTTGAAATAGATAATTGGAATGTTATGAGATTTAATGTTTAATTATATATTTAATTACTTTATGGATTTATTATTTCTTTCTCTCTTAAAAACTAGTAGGTAGAATGTACCAAGCAGAATCAGATAGGGAACTAGGTGTTACCTCAAATGTTAATGTAGGGGAACGATGGAAAGGCATCATACTTCGATTAGTGATTTCAGGAGAAATCTTTTTTTTTTCCTACTATAGGGAATGGGATAAATAGATAATTGGAAAAGAATGGACAAAAGATACAAGTACAATGATTTAAATTAAGATGAAATAAATAAAATAGAATGAAGAAGAGTGGAAAGTGGGGAGAAGTTATAATGAAGATATAGAATGGTAAATAAGATAGGTAATGGTATATATGATGAGCATAAATTTAATTGAAGTCCATATAAGGAGAGGTAATCCGGGGCCAAGCTACTTTTTAAAAAGAAGTTTTATGTTTTGTGTTTTGTGTGTGTATGTCTGAGATTTAATAAAACCTTGGAGGAAAGCTAGAGGAGAATAATTGCAAACAAGACAGAGGGAAATATGAATATGATGATTATAAAATGGATAAATACAGAAGAAATGTAACTGAATAAGAGCAAAGAGAAATAATGAGAAATCTGCTAAAAGATATTTAAGTGGAAATGGGATATATCAGAACTATATTGTATAAAACAATGTTTTATCTGCCTTGTAAAATTTATAATGGAAAGAGGTTTAATGTCTTCAATGTTTAATGATGTTTTGTTTGTCTTTAAAAATTAATAAAATCTGTTTAAAAAAAAAGTATTCTGAAGCAAGAACTTGATATTGTTAACTGATGTAATTCGTTAGGTCTTGCAACTGTTAGCAAGCTAGACAAAAACATAGCCAATGACATTTGGACATTTGGTCTTATACATCCCAGGCCCATAATGTCATGTTTCACAAATAAAAGAATTCCTGCACCCACAAAGTATCTCCAAATTCTAGGTGTAGATCTACCATTACTGAACGTAGTTTCCTGCAGTGGAAATTAACATATTGAGGTACATCCAGATTTATGCCACATGCTGTCATGATTATGCCACATTCCAATATTCACACATCTTTTCTCAAGAGTTATGTCCTGATCTGACACATTCTCGGTATCAAGGAAAGAAACAGGAGAACTCTGATGGACCAAATCAAAACAGATTTGGAGAGGTTAAGGAGGTGGTCTGCGGAACTGGACTACAAAAATCTGATCCACCAGATATGGAAATTCTGATGCTTTGTTACTGTTTGATGACCATCTGCACTTTAACAGTCCGGATCTAAGAGCCTTTCTGGGAAGGCCCTCAAGATCTGCAGAAACATAAATCACTTTAGAAACTACCACTTCAAAGAAAATAATCCCACTCAGTTCCCCAGCATGTAGCAAGAGCAGGGGAAAAAATCCTTTCTTCTCAGAGAGGTTTTCTGACCCCTTGCACTTCTTAGGAACAGGAAAGCTTCCTATATTGTCCCACCTTCAATCCACCCCCCCCCAATCAAATTTAAAACCAAAAACAACAGTAAATGCAATCTCGTGGCAATTAAACGTATGCTGAATAAAGGGTACTACCAGTCTTGGTCCAAATAAGGAAGAAGCAGAGTGTTGGAAGAAAAATCCAGGTCCAGTTCCAAGCTGGGAATAAAATGATGCTTAAAAAAGAAAGATCCGTTTATTGATGAGCAGAACCAACACAAACAAGCTTGCAGTTGCAGGACAGCTGACAAAATGGGAGTTGAGAGTGAGTGGTGTTTATTTTATACCTTTGTGATTCCTATGGGGTCATGGCTAGCTCTACAGGCAAAAAGGAAAAAGCAAATCCTAGGCCCCTCATCGAGTTGCTTATCTGAATTTCTGCCTGACTCAGTCTTTATGAATGGATTACCAAATCTACATTTCTGAAAGCTGGCCTCTGGTTCTGTTTGGAGCAGGGAGACTGGGGCTGGTTTCTGTCTCCCTTAAGGCCCCCACCCACCCATTTCTCCTTTAAGGGAAATATTCTACCCTGTCTTTTTAATATTCCTCAAAATATTTCATTTTCTAGGAGGGTGGGTGGGTGTTGACTTTTTACAAGGGCAACCGATCCCTGGCTAGGCGCACGTCATAGTCACATAATCCAGTGCTCTCGCCTCACAATCAGGAGGCTGCTGTGAGTTCGATCCTAGGTAGAGGCTAATATTTGGAATAGACCCTCCTGCTCGAGCAGGGGGTTGCACTAGATGACCTCCAAGATCCCTTCCAATTCTATGCTATGTTCTATATGCCTTCTATGTTACCAAATGGCCTCGTTAAGCCTCCCCTTCACTTCAGCGCAGAATATGCACAGGGGCGATTATTTCGTTGCGATCGCCCAAAATGAGAAAACTTGCAAGTGATAGAGCCGATGATCCCAGCATAGCCTACCTTCTACTCACGGAAAACACCAGACAGCACTATTGCACTAGAGACCTTTCCAACTAGGCGAAATCAACGAGCACGGGGGAGAAGTCTCTTTATTTATTCTTTCTCAATCAATTTATTCCGAAGGAAGCGAAGCCAAACTACACGAACTGGATTGCAAAAGCCAGGGGACCTCTGTCCAAAGCAGACTTGCGAGAGGCTTTTATCGCACCTTCAACCTCTGGGGAAAGGAGGAAACAGTCCCGATAGCTAAAAGGGAAATGAGATCAGTTCTCAAGGCATTGCAGAAGCTGGGCTCGGTCTCGGCTGCCCAGCGATACAGACAGTCCGGTGCCCTAGCTCCGACTTCCTCCTTCCGCAGACGGCCATGGGGCGCCGGACTGGTCTGCTCTGTGTCTGCTTCGCGTTGCAGTTGATGGGGGCACCGGCGCAAGCGAGTAAGGACCGCGAGGAAGAGGCTGGCAGCGCGGATTTCCAGAGCCGCCTGCAGTACGAGCATTTGCAGAAGCAGCTCGGGGCCGTGCGGGACGTTTCCCACCGGTACTGGAACTCGCTGGCTTGCCAGTTGTGGCAGGAAGGCTGCGAGGAAGAGGAGGAAGGCAGCAGAGGCATCCTGGAACAGCACGGTAGGGTCCCCGCGGGGTCGCCCCCCCCCCCCGGCGCTTTGCTGCTTTTCTCATTCGCGAATGGCCGCCGAATTCGCCCTTGCAGCCTCCAAACTCCCAGAATTCTTACCGTGGGCTCTATGGAAGAAAGGACGCGGAAGTGCAGGCTTTGAACATAATTTCTAAGTATATTCTGAACGTGCTATTACACAACAAGCGGGCGTAGAAATAATTCCGTTTTACATTGATATTTTAAAGCAGAGGTTTCCAAACTTGGCAACTTTAAGACTTGTGGACTTCAACTCTTCAACTTCAACTCCAGCCAGCTCTGGGAGTTGGAAGTCCACAAGTCTTAAAAGTCGCCAAGTTTGGGGACCCCTGTTTTAAAGCTTGGGGATTCGGTCGGATATCGCTCCCTTCTTCTAAGAAATGCCCAAATAAATTGATTAAAGGATAAAGTAAAAAAATGCTCCCAACTCCCACAAGTTTTTACTAACACCACACTATAGATAGGTTTAATAAATGATTTTTATGCTGGTTGATCTAGGTATTTTGGAATAGGTTTCATATTGCTCTGAGACAATTGTAGAAGCAAAATGTCGAACTTTACAATCAAAGTAGCAAAAATCCATTGCCCTGTTAGAGTATTGTTCTCTGTAAAGCAAAAACAATTTTACATGTACAGCAGAATGAGAAAGTAAAATCGTATGGTGACTGAGCAGAGGAGCCTATCAGAAGAACCACACACCACGGGTAATGAAAAAAAAAATTCTCAAGAGTGTTGGAAGTTAAAACCCACTCCTCTCCTAGAAAAATGAAATATTTTAGGATATATTAAAAAGGCAGAATATTTCCCCTAAAAGAGAAGTAGAAACTCAGAGAGGCAGAAACTCAGCCACCCCACCTCCCACCTTTGGCCCAGGCCTTAATGGCCCATTTACAGTCTATTCTGCATAACAAAGGTCTACCTCCTTCAGGCAGACCCATTATAGCTAGGGTCTTCAAACTTGGCAAGTTTAAGACTTGTGGACTTCAACTCCCAGAATCCCTGAGCTAACATGACTGGAGGAGGAATTCTGGGACTTGAAGTCCACAAGTCTTAAAGCTGTCAAGTTTGAAGACCCCTGCATTATAGGAAGCCCAAAGCCCTTTCATTACATCATCCAGCAAGGCTCAACCAAACCTGGAACTCAGGACAGCCTACATGGCCCCATGGAGCCTGCATGGCCCCATGGGAATCTGACAACCAATCAGAATACAAGCTCAAATTCAAATCGCAACAGGGCATAAATCTCCCTCTCTCCCTCCCTCTCATTCTCCCCGCCCCCTCTCTCCCTGAATGGGACATCAGGGTTTCGAGAAAGACTGATCCAATTGCAATCTCTTCTGATTACAGTAGTGGGAACTTTCCATGTGTGGCTTCTTATTTTCAGCAAAATGTTATCCATCCAAGACTTAACCATTTCCTTCCTTCTAGAACAGTGTTTCTCAGTTTGGCAACTTTAACAGGTATGGACTTCAGGATGCTGGCCAGGGAATTCTAGGAGTTGAAGTCCCTGTCTCATAAAGGTGCCAAAATTGACAAAAACTTTTCTAGAACAAATGGATGTTGTTTGCTCATGTGTGGTCTACTTCTGCAATTGCTTCACTGTGGGTGAAAGAACAGAAAAGGGATCATCGGAGAGACACAGGCTTGGGTTTCTTGTTGGGTTTCTCGTATCTTTGCATCTGTGTACTGAAATCCATGTGTTCTTTCAACTGGCTATCCCAGACTGGCTGATTTAGATCAGTGCTAAAAGTAATAGTAAGCTCTGAAAAGTGGAATTACCCTTGTAAGAGAAGAATAGTATAGAAAAGGCTGCTATTGCACTTGCAGCAGAAATGAGAAGAGAAAGAGTTGCTGTGCAGTATTGGTTACTTTGGGCAAATGAATGTTTTTTCATCAGGTGCAATGAAAATATCACAGCTAACAGCAAGATTTGTAAAACAGACTGAGGATGGGGAACAAGATAGAAGTTTCTTCAAGCCAATTGCCTAGTAACAATTCAAATATTTCTTTTCCCCCAATCTGGTGTTCTTACCTTTTAGATTGGAAGTTACCCATGGTGACAGAATTAGTCTCTACCTGGTACTGTGGCTTTGGCAGGTGCTGCCCAACAGGAGACTGCAGAGTGGTCAACAATATCACAGGTAAAGACTTTGCTTTCTTCTTATTTTAATTCCTTCCCTCCTCTATATTAAAAATACTGCATTACCCAAGTTCAACATTTTATGCTTCTGAAATTTAGAAATGTGATGCTATACAGCTTTAATTTGGCTTAAAGGCTAATTAGCTTTGTTTTAAGTGGTGTGTATTTTGTTTTATTAAAAAATAAATTATAGTACTCAATGCTCTTTTCCTAACTGCGTCTCTTTTAGTATAATAAATACTATATCTTTCTGGGGAATGACAAAGGTATAAAACCAAAATCTTTCCCTTTAATTCCAACACAGTAAAGTTGCACTGTTCCTTTTTTATTTGACATGGGGACCAATTCTTTCCATTATAAACTAATGATTGAAGCACTGAGACTGAATACATATTTGATCAAATTAATTGGGAAGAAATGGTGAACAGAAGATGATTCTGCTAAAAGCAGCTAGATTGGTTCTTCATAATTCCTCTCCTGATAAGGAGAGGACTTGAGATCACCCACAAGTGCTCTGTACATTTGCTCCTCCAATCTTTGATGGCTTTTGTGCTCTGGGACATGAGAAAACAGTTATTTTGCTCAAATTACAATTGTCACCTTAATAGAAACTTCTCTAATTACTTTCAGAAATATTTTTTGTTGACTATTTTCAGTCTGGATTAATTCTGCAGTTTTTGTCATGTTTTCCAAGTTACCTGCTGAAGCAGAGGATCAGAGATAAGAGATAAGAATTTACATAGAGAATATGTACTATCAAACGTAGTTACGAGACATCTTTCTTTTCTGAAGAACCATTAGAGATTTCCCACCCACATTAAGCATATCTTCTTGCACAGCTACAAGAACTACTTGTTTACATAAAGAAAGAACAGTAAGATCAAGGGTCTTCAAACTTGGCAAGTTTAGGATTTGTTGGACTTCAATTCCCAGAATTCCTGAGCTAACATGACTGGAGGAGGAATTCTGGGAGTTGAAGTCCACAAGTCTTAAAACTGTCATGTTTGAGGACCCCTGAGTAAGTGGATGACAAGTGGATTTTGGAGCCAAGGCTACAACTTGTGGTTTCGCTTTTATGCAAAACAACTTGTGGTTTCACTTTTATTTGCTTTTATGTTTGATAATTTGAGCTCAAGAAAATTCTAACTTGATCTTGAAAATCCTGATTTCTAGCAATGTAAAGCTTATGCAGTTTCCAAGTAACATCCTCTTTTTCTTTCCCACAGGCTTGGAACTGGTTCTGAGCAAACGACTCCATGGCCAACATTTGGCAAAAAAAATTGTCCTGAAAGCCATTCGGGGTTTCTTGGAAAAACGACAGCCAGAGAAAGCACTAACTCTTTCTTTTCATGGCTGGTCTGGTACTGGCAAGAATTTTGTAGCTCGTTTAATGGCAGAACATCTTTATCGAGATGGCCTAAAAAGCGACTGTGTTAAAATTTTTATCTCAGTACTTCATTTCCCTCATCTCAATTACATGGACCTTTACAAGGTGAGAGAATATTTGCATATTGTGTGTCTATGTGTGTGTTAAGTATAGTGCAGTTTTAGGGAGAGGCTTCTACTTAGAAGTCAGACGTGCAGAAGGTCCATGGATGAATTATTTTATCTTGGAAGATGTACAAAACAAGGAACTTTAGAATTCCTGGATGTTTAGGGAACACAACATTAGTGAAATCTGTACATGTCATACCACATATCCACACAAGTTGCCTTGATTGTCATTCAATGGGCTATTGTAGACCACTGGTTTTAAAAAATCCTGGATTGGCTAATTAACTTAAAAATTGGCTATAATCATGTGAATCTTCCTATATCCAAAGATCTGTTCGGGTTAATCCTGCTGTGTGGTCTCTCTCTAGCAAAGGGCACATGGGCAGTGGCCTGTCCTTAGGGATCCAAACAAAACAATGTAGCTTGACGAGACTAGATCAAAGCACACAGAATATTTATTTTGGTCCAGGATACAAAACAGTAAAGACAGTATCACTGATGCTCAAAAGCAAGTCAAAGTTTAAAAGTCTAGGTGAGTAAGCTGAATCATGGGCCCCTATTAATATGAATAACATCCAGAGTTAGGTGGCATAAAATTTTAATATATTATGATTGGCTGTGCAGTTGGCAAGATCTTTAAACTGGATTTGGCATTTTTGTCCACTTGTTGAGTTCTAACCAAGGATCTGGGATAGAAAGATAGTGTTTAATCATATTAATAATATTGTGCCTGCTCTTAGCCATTGCCAAGTTTTGCTGCTATCTGCTTAGACTGCTACGTTTTTGTTTACTGGTTTTATAATCCTTTTCCATGCCATGTCTTTTCTATCCTTCAGTTAGTCTTTCTTGAGGATCACTTTAGTTTCTCCAATATTCAGTAAGCCTTTATGGCATACTATGAATGAGTGTGAATGACTATGACTTTATGGCAGGGGTCCCCAACCCCTGGGCTGTGGCCTGCTCTGGCCTTGAGTCGTTCGTAATCAGGCTGCAGAAGTGGTGGGTGAGCGCGTATGCACATGGTGTGCACACGCACTCCATTTGCACAAGTGGCGGTTGAATGCCCATCACTCACACAAATGGAGTTGTGCATGTGCCTACTTCTCGCACGGAACCATCCCCTCTCCCAACCACTCCTGCCATTCCGCAAAGCCGAAAATGTTGCAGAACTCTGCTTTATGGCATCATCTTCACTCGCCTCAAATACTCTTCCAATGTTTATCCAAGGAGCTCAGTATTTCAAGCTAAAAAAAGAAAAGAAGCCCAGTTGCCGTGACTTAGTTTCCAGATAACTTTATCGGGATGACTGAGAATCTTCATCGACAGTTTGAAAGTTGTTAGTAAGTCAGTAAATGGCTTGTAGTTGCCAGGTGTTGCCCCTTTTGTTGAATCTTTCATTATCAGGTTTTGCCAGAAGTTAGCCATTCTTTAATTTCACCTTGTAGTATATTGTTGAACTGCTTGGCAATGAGTGAATGCAGACCAATCATGTTTCAACCAAAAGCTATAGCAGTTCATCTTCACCTGGTCCTGATCAATTCTTGATCTTCCTTACCCTTTTCTCTACTATATCTTCTGTGGTTACAAATTCTTTCATTTCAATCTCTTTTTAAAAAAATTCTTAACCACCTCCTTTAGCCAGGCTGCATTCTTATTGTACTTCTTTGGGTTGTCCCATATCTGCTCCCAGAAATGTGTTTTGTCAGGCAATTATAAAAACCTTTCTGGTGGGAATCACGGACCTTTAGATCATTCTCCCTTGGAAAATATTTCTGGTTCCCTCACTAATAGCATACAAACAAGGATTTTTAAATGAAAAAAACTTTTGGATTATGTTGACAATTTCATATTGACTTCGTTTTTCTTGATGTTTTAGAGATTGCTTTTAAAAGAGGGGATACAAGGCCATAAATAAATCTCTGGCTACACCAATTTTATTTATGCCAATTTAATCATTCGTGCCTGTTTTCCCTGTTCACTCAGGTTGAGCTAACAAAACAAATCACTGAGACAGTCGGACTCTGTGAACAATCCTTGTTCATCTTTGATGAAGCAGAGAAGCTTCATCCTGTTCTCCTCAATGCCCTCGAACCATATGTGGGTCACAATGGCAACACTGACGAGGTTGATTACCGGCAGTCAATCTTCTTATTCCTGAGGTAATTTTTTGTTTTGAGTATAAGAAACAAATCCTAAGTCATATTTTCTGGGGACTTTTCAGAATATTAAAAGTCTGAGCTTTTAATATTGAGGAGTAATCCAGGGTAAAAAAGACGAGGTAGAAAAATCTAGAAACATATCAAGACTTCCACAAGTTTATTAAAAAGCTCTTCCTGAAACTTTCTTGCCACTTCCATTAACAGATCCCGAGTTGCACTTTCTTTTGGCCTCGCCGAAAAGCTGAACTTTGCAAAAGCAATAAGATTTATTTCTGTCCTTTTACGAATTCTGTATAGTGCAAGTACAGAAACATACAGGGGATGATCATTTTATTCTCTGACCCTACTATCGACAATGTTGCTGATATTCAAGGATACCCTTTAGAGAAGAAAGACTCATGTTCTTAAAAATACCTTGCCTAACATCTAAGAAGCAGCTTTGAATCGTTAATTAAAATCTCATCTACCTTTATTAACAGCTGGTCTGTTGATAATGATAATTGAGTTTGAAAAGCAAATACAGTGGTACCTCAGCACTCATTGTTAATTGGTTCCTGGAAGCACAATGAATATAAAAAATGATGAGTACCAGAACTTTCCCATTAGGAACAATGCCGTGAGTCACAAGGCATCAGACATTGACAAATTTCTAGCTTGTGTGTTGAGTACCTGATGAATACCGGGACAAAATTTATACATCAAAATGCCTTGAGTACCAAATTCAATGAGTTTCAAAGCAGTTGAGTACCAAGGTACCACTGTAAGTCCATTTTTGCTACCTATATTTCTTGCACTGGATCTTTGAAACCAGTAAGATTTGTGCCAATTTCTTTTTTTTTTTATTTACTGGGACCAAAATTTGCCTAAAGCCCAACTGCTTTTTACTTAAGAGGCTAGGGATTTACCTAAGTGAACCAAATCCCTTACTGAAAATCCTCTTTAGAGGGAAGACAGCAAACACGAATGCTATTAATGCACTAGATGTCTTAAAACAAGTGTTTCTTTTTCTCAGTCTACCTATTCCACTTTAATAATAATACTCTCCCAAAAGAGTAGGACAAAAAAGAAATGGGTAAAGAAATCATGCTCCACATCATTCCAGAAAACAGGAGGTTAAAATGCACATATGATTACAGAAAGATTGCCTGTCCTTACATTCCACCACAATCCATTCTGGGAAATTCAAGTGAATTCAGACTGATTTAATGTATGAGTAGAAATGAGAAACTTTCACCCTCAGGACTTTCGACTAACAACTTTGCCCTGTGATATTATTGTGAATACAGGACAAGGCAGCTTATGTATTAAGGTTATATTTTGCTGCAACTGCTAAATTCTGTTGGTCAATGAGATAAGTTCTCGACTTATGATCACAATTGAGCCAAACATTTACACTGCTAAGCAAGACAGTGTTGCCCCATTTCACAACTTTTCTTGCCACAATTCACTGTTAGTAACACAAATATTAGTGAAACTGGCTTCCTCGTTGACTTTGCTTGTCAGAAAATCCCCAAAGGTTGATCACATGAACCCAGGACACTGCAACCATCGTAAGTACATGCCAATGGTCAAAGTGTCCGAATGTTGACCCAGTGGGGGACGTGCAGCAGTTGTAAGTGTGGAAAATGGTTGCAAGTAACTTTGTTTCAATACTGTTATAATGTCGAACAATCACTAAATGAATGGTTGTAAGTTGAGGACTATTCTTTTTTTTTGTACCCAGTAACACTGGTGGAAACATCATCAATAAGGTGGCCCTGGATTTCTGGCAAGCTGGTCAAGCTAGGGAGGAGATCACCATGGAATATTTAGAACAACTCCTGCGGAGGGACCTGCTGGATGCCCCAGGTAAGTTGCTGTTTGTTCTTAAGGCTTTACTGCCACTGAAGTTCTAACTCGGGTAGTAATGCATTTTTTTGTCTTTTGCAAGATATTGATTGAAGGCAAATGTGGAGTACTATTTGCCCATACACAAATAATATCAGTGCTTTTAAAAAAATATGTGTTAATTTTCACCATTCTAATGGAATGAATAATATGACCACAAGCAATAATTGGAGGGATCTGTTAACACATACTGTGGCAAGCCAGGTTTTATTTTTCTTCAAATGTTAGAAATTTCCCTTCTCACCTGCAATTTAATAGGCACTTACGAAAGATATTAAGACATGTTGGTCTAAAAGGAAATATTACAGCATCTTAATATCATGTTTCATGACATAAGCTTTTATGAACTAGGTATCTATTCATCTACTCTTGCAAATGTAAACAGAGATGTTAGTGGGAAAGAGACCTAAATTTTGAGGTCAGAGGGAAATGAAATGTAGTAACATTAAAATGATAACAGTAACATCTATAAACAGGTGGTATCTGCCAAATCTAGCGATACCTTCATTGTAGCTTGGTAAATGAATAGGCCCCTTTTTCATTCCTTAGCTTAGCTGAATCAAAGGAGGAGAAAGTGGGTTTTTATGAACAAGTACACATGATTAGTGGAACAGTTTTTGTTTCTACCTAGCCAGGTCTTCCAGACTGAGATGAGAGAAGATTAACCCTGTCAACTGTCTGTAGGAATGGGATGAAGTCCCAAAATACCCCAGGAAACAGGAGTTTTTCTAGATACTCCATTTCCATTTCCTTGTGTGTTTTACTCTGCAAGATAAGAGGCAGAGTAAGCCTCTTCCATAAATTCTACTGCAGTGGCTCCAACCTTGGTTAGTCTGCCAGAAAGTTTTCAGTTTGCTTTTGTTCAGTTGAGGGGGTAGGAGGATGATTTAAGTCTACTAGTTACTAGTAACTAGTATCCACTGTCACACAAAAAGAGTTGCATCAGAACACTATATGGCAGGGTGAGAACCCACTGTATGACCCGGCAAGCTAAATAACTGGAGGTAAGTTACCTATGTAAATAATTCAGCAGAATGGGTACCCACAAGCATTTATTACAAAATGCCTGCATAACACGCAAGAAAGAGAAATGCAGAAAGAAGATATGAGACCAACTACTGTATGTAGCACACCCTGCCATACATCAAAAACAGAACGCAGCTTCTGCAAGTGAGTATCGCGCACTGCCCAGAGGCTACCATATGAGAACAAATCATGCATTGCAAAGATCACTCAGAGGTGGGAGTTACTTCTAATATAATCTACCAGGTCCCTTGCATGGATTGCCCCTTTGACTATGTAGGACAGATGGGGAAGAAGCTAACCACCAGATTACAAGAACACAAGCAAGCAGTCAGGAGATCCAAACTCATTGGTAGCCTCACATTGCAACGAACCAAGACATACACTCAATTTCACAGCTATTAAGATCTTTGGCTGTGCAGGTAGAGCGAGCGAGCCAGGGAAATGATTGAAGCCTGGGAAACGGCCCCCTTGTCAGTTAATAAGGAGTTCTGATTTGCCACCAGCTTACCAGGTACTGGGGACTTGACAGTACAAGGAAAAAATAGCCAATCACTGGCCATCAACACACCAATCAACCAATAGGAAGGCATAGAATAACCCAATAGGAAGGCATAGAATAACCCAAAGCACAAAGAGAGAAGTCCCTGAGGATGGGCTCCAGCATGAGTCTGAAAGCTCAGAAGACTAAACTTCTTGGTCCCAGTGACCAACCCAGAATGGATCTTGCAACATAAGATTTTTCACTGTTGCTGATATTATCTTAAAATATGCCATATGCATCAAAGATACTATAAACTATATTTGGTCTCCCCGGTAATGCCAAGTAACTAGTTACTGTCTACCCTGGTCAATAATGAAGAAGCAGGAGATATCAGATATTGAATTGTGCCTTTTTTTCCCCCCCAGATGCCCGCAACTTTCTTCTTCAGAAGAACCTCATAGACTTTCTGGTCCCTTTCCTGCCTTTGGAATATCACCATGTGAAGCTGTGTGCTCGGGATGCTTTTCTTGCTCGAGATCTACAGTTCACTGAAGAGATGCTAGATGAGGTTGCAAGGACAATATTTGCTCCCAAGGGGAATAAATTATTTTCTGCTCAAGGTTGCAAATCAGTATCTCAGCGTATAAACTAGTTTCTTCTTTGACAGGGGGAAGGTGAAGATTGAAATTGAGTTTCTTTTATCTTATACAAGGGACATATATTTTATTTATTACACTAATAGTGTAATATTACCTGTGTTCTCCATATTATTGGGGTTGCTCAGCTAAAAAAGGTAAGAAAACTCCATTACAGATATCGAATCTACATGAATGGTATTACTGAAATAGTAATATATCCAGAGTATTTTTCCAATACTGGTTACAAATGATGCCTTTGGGTCATATTGTTTATGACCATTATATTGAGTGGGTTTTTAAGACAGCTTGGAGAGAAAACATGTGAGGCTGACTTAACATGTGAGGCTGACTTAATTTTATTCCAGGTCTTAGATAGCTAACAATGATTTGAATCAAACAAATTCTTAGTTTGCATTCTTAGTGCAGTGGCTGGGCAAGGAACTATCATATTCCCTTACAATGAAATCTACCTCTTCCACAATCCTTGTGTCGAATTAAGGTATGGAGGAAATATTTTGTCCTTTATTAGTGGCCTGGTGTCACTAATTTTTCATTTTATATATATTTAATATCTATCTAAATATTTCACATGAATATACATATCAAAAGACAAAATATGAAATATGAAAGTTAAAAAGGAGGAATTTAAATTGCAAGCCTTTGCGGACGACTTGGTCTTTATTTTGGAAGACCCTCTAGAGACAGCTTTAAAATTACTGGAAAAGATAGAGACGTATGGTGAGATGGCTGGCTTGAAAATAAATAAAGACAAAACAAAGATTCTGACAAAAAGTATGTTATTAAGGCAAAGAGAAGAGTTGGCAGACCTATTGAAAATTCAAGTTACGAATAAAGTTAAATACTTTGGGATATTTTTGACGTCAAGATGTATTACACTGAAAGAGAATAACTATATTAAACTTAAACAGCAGATAGCATCTGACTTGAAAAAATGGGAAAACCTACAATTATCTTTGATAGGTAGAATTTCAACAATTAAAATGAATATTTTACCCAGAATTTTATATTTGTTTCAAACAATACCAATTAAATTAGGTAAGGATTATTTTGAAGAATTAAATAAAATTGTGTTGAAGTATATATGGCAAGGTAAGAAAGCGAGAATAAAACTAAAACTTTTACAGGATGCTAGAACTAGAGGAGGATTTGGCCTTCCTAATTGGGAGTTGTATTATCAAGCTGCAAACTTAATGTGGGCTAAAGAATGGATAACGTTAAGAAAGTCTAGATTACTGGCATTGGAAGGACATGACTTATTATTGGGTTGGCATGCTTTTTTATGGTACAAGGGAACTAAATTGCAGGGTTATTTCAGAAGGCACTATATACGGGAATCGTTATGGTTGAATTGGGAGAAAATTAAGAAACAATGTTATCTGAAAATACCAGTTTGGTTATCAACTATCAAAGCTTTTTCCTATCCTATAATTTATAAGAAGGAACAAACAGTTAGATATGGGGAAATATTGGATGAAAAGGGTGAACTTAAAACGATGCAAAAGTTAGAAGAACAAGATATAAAGATGAATTGGTTTTCATATGCGCAAATACACTCAAGGTATCTTAAAGATTCTAAAACAGAAGGATTTTATGATAAATTGACTGATTTAGATAGGATTTTGACAGGTTCTGATGAAAAAGTGATTAAAAAACTATATAGTTATTTGTTGGAAATTAAATTAGAGGAAGAACAAGTCAAAGAAACAACGATTGTTTGGGGGAAGAACTTTGGATATGGGATTGATTTAGAGAAATGGCAAAAATTGTGGTCTCAAAATTATAAAATGACAATGTCAGTAGCATAAAAAGAAAATTTGTATAAGATGTTTTACAGGTGGCATTTCCCCCCGACAAGAATAGCAAGAATGTTCAAGAACAAATCTGAAAAGTGCTGGAAATGTCATCAGATCCCTGGCTCATATTACCATATGTGGTGGACTTGTGAGGAGGCCAGGAAATACTGGACTAGAATTCGCATATGGTTGGAAGAAATGACACAAGAACATATAGATTTGAAACCAGAGATTTTTCTATTGGGAATCTTACCTGATACATTTAAAAAAAACTTAAAGTACTTGATTGTAAATGTGTTAACAGCGGCTAGGATTGTATTTGCTAAAAATTGGAAGAGTGAGAAAATACCATTAGAGGAAGAAATTATTAAGAAAATATTGGAATGTGCTGAAATGAGTAGATTGACATTTGAAATTAGAGAACAAGAAGATAAACAATTTTATGAAGTTTGGGATCTTTTTTATCAATGGTTAGATAATACAACATAATAGAATATTTTGAAACCTAGGAAATAATGAATATACATTTTTTTTCTCGTTTTGATAACATTTTTAGAATATTTTATTAAGATAGATTTGGTATGATTTTACGATTTGTTATAAAATAAATTAACTAAATTATAGTTATCTCGCTTAAGTATGAATTAGTAAAATTATAGTCAAATGATTGTTTAATAATGATATTAGGATATATAATTGTTGATTGATAATGAGTTATTATGTAACATAATTATTATGATGACTATGAAATGGATGCACAAAAAGGAGTGGTAAACCAACCAATACACTGTCTGTAAATTTATGAAGAATGATGATGTTTTTATGTTTTATGTGTTTTTATTTGTTAAAATCAATAAAACTTTTACCAAAAAAAAAAAAAGACAAAATATGTGCCATTCTTTTTATTATAACTTTTACAACAGGACAAACTATATACTTCTACTCCAGCACTGAAATTGAGCAATGAGGTTCGTTCTGTGTGATAAAAGTACTCCTTGCATAAGCCACTATTTGCTGGTATTGCACTTCCGTTGTCTTTGTAGATTAAAATGTTGAATGGAGTGTTGCTTTTGTGGGATATTGAAGTTTGGCATTCATAGCAGGCCACTAACTTTGTCAGAGTAAATATACACAGATTTAGCTGGCCAGATATACTCAATTTGTAAGAGCTATGTATGTACACAGACTGACTGAACACGGAATTTAAGCTTCGAAAAATACACAAACCTTGTGCAAAATTGAACCATATGTGGAAGACCAAAGTGACTTTGCAGCAACATAGGTGTCCCCAGCATCTGATCCTAGTTCAATCCCAGTTTAGAAGAATAAATGTTATAGATTTTAGGGCAAATGATAGAAATTGGGTTTTTTTGTTCTCACATTTTAGTGTTAATGCTTCACAAATGTAAAATACAGGTAGATCTCATTTAGCAACTACCTCAAGATTATGAAGATGATGACAAAGTAATTGTCAGACACATTTGCCATTATAGTCAGTACATGCCCTGTGCTTGAGTTTCTCATCACCACTAACCCCACTTAAAACAAGTGATCTTTTCTTGAACTTTCTATCACAGTGTTTTCTTCTCAAAAATGCTACCAGCAAGTTCAGATGCCAAGATCTGTGATTTTAATTAGCCAGTTTTCAGCTGCTACCTGCAACTGATAAGTATTTAGTTACTTTCACACATTTGGCTTTTGTTGTCTCCTATGCTGCTGGGGGCTCAAAGCCACAAGTAAGCTAGGCAAATAGCTGGTGCTGGTGTACTTCTTTCCATGTGTATTTTTCATTGTGTACCTGCTTACTCTCTTGTAATCCCTTCCTCTCCAATAAATGTAAATACAAACATTAATTCCCTTCTTGCTAATTATCCCAGCCTCACACCTTTGGGCGAGTATTCCAAAAGAGAAAAGGGAAACTGAACAACAATCACGGGCACAGTCACAATCATGTAGTGCTGAGACGACAATCCCAATTATGATGTCTTTTAAACAAGGACTACCTATAGTCCAAGATAGGGAATAATTTAAGATCTGCAGATAGGCAAGCAGTTGTGTATTATGTGTGCCAGACAGTCATGCCCCATTTCTTCTCCTATACATCCTGTGAATGCAAGCACATAGACCTAAACCTTCCATTTAATTTTCAGAGTGGCTTGTTACAAAAGCTGAGCAGAACATCGTGCCTAACCGAAAAGGTATTACACAAATTGTTGACATTTCATTTGCTAGCCAAATGACGGCAAGATTGTATTTACTGTCTAGGTTAGCTTGCTAAATGATGTAACATTTGTAACCTGTGACTGGGGTGAAGAAGCAGAAGGTATACAGTGCAGAACAAAATGTGCTTTGAAATATGAATCTGTCTTGTGTTAGCAGCTTCACCAGAACCATTCCCATTTGTGTACAATATTTCAGCATCTGAATGTGTGCTGCTAAACTGTGGATGATTTCCACAGAAAACTACTGTGAGTTCCTTGAATTCTGACCGATAATAAATCATTTGTGACAGCTTTCAGATGTTCAAGTCATCATACATGTAAGTGTGAAATGCCAAACCAGTTCCTTTTTTAACCTTTTAGGTATATAACTGCATGTTTTTCTTTTAATTTCATTATTCACTCGGTCACTTTGCCCTAAAAGAAAGTAACATATCCTGAAATTTAATTGCCAATAAAATATTGCAATTTTTATTTAAAACAAAATGCAAATTGGCAAAAATCTCTGGAACAGGCAGAGGCAATGCCTCCAAGGGCCTTACTTACATCAAGTTAACACTGTTTGCAGTTCACAGTCAGGAAATAGTGAAAATTTAAATTAGAAAAAAACCAAATATATTACAAACAACAACAAAAAACAAAGTAACATTTGACAACACTAGTAGTGTGGGTTTTTCTGTGTCAGTCGCACATTTCAGTTTCACCCATTTTAATCCTCAGTGAATTCAACTAACAGAGTGCTGGGTTGATTAAAATCCTTAGCCATCCCCCCCCCTCCCCCGCCCTCCGGAAAGCTACCTCTTACACATCATACAACGTTGGCCATTTTTGCCGTAGGCAACTTCAGAGAAATTACACATTCCTAATATGCCACTTTTCTGGATTAGAGGAAAAGGCCACATTTTCACATCAAGAGTTGTACTTGGACCAACTGTGCACAGGCAACTCTTAATACAGTACTGTGAATGGAAAATAGAAAGTGGTGTCTGATCATGGTCATTGCTTTAGTCATTTCAGCATTTCCTAAGTCTGTATTTTAAAACAAGCACGCCATCCATTAAGAAGCAGAAAAGGGGGCTAGCCAATAGTCTATTTGCTTGAAAGAAAGACTAGATGTTTCCAAGTTAATTTTTAAGATAGGGGCTCATCATATATCAATAGGAGACTGAGCAATGAGTAATTGAGAAGGACTACTTCTCTTTAATCTTTTGTGGAGAGGGGTCATCTTAAATGAAGGCTCATTTCCTTTCAGTTAAATATAGTTCCAAGATCCATGCAGTCTAAAATTGGGATGTCCAGTAGCTGCTTGGGAAAACTTCTAGCGAATGAGCAAAATCAGTCAATAAAAACCTTTCCTAGATTGCACTGAGATGAGGGAAAAGGGGTTGCGCTTCCATTCAGGTCAAAAATAAGAGGGAAAGAAATGAAGCATGTGACAAAGTTTTGTAAATTGATGGCAATTTTTAAGCAATACTTAAATTCTGAAATAATACAAAGATTGGACAAGCTTTAATATGTAAAACATGTATGAAATGTATCTTCATAATTTAGCAATAATTTTTTTTCACAAGGTGGAAAGCAAAAACTTTTCCCTCTTGTTTTTGGCAAAAAAAAAAAAAAAAGGGACTTTGAACAAGAAGGATTTGAGAGCATTATTTAGCCAGCTTTGAAGACAATGACCAAACAATAATCTGTTTTTAATCTGTGTTTTCCATGTTTAGAGTTCTGATGCTATATACTTCTAAAATAGAAATTTTAGACTTCGCATCTCTACTCATATAGCGTCATAATATGCTATTCAGCAGAACAACTTCCTTAGAGAATGAATGTTTTATCTTCAATTCTGCTTTAAGACCAGAGAATCAACAAAAATGTTGTTGAAAGTGTTAATTTTCAATGCAGAGCTTCAGGTAAGCCTACAATTCTTTTGGTTATTGACTCCCTAAAAACTGTCCTGTGAAATTTCAGCAGCAAACCACTAAAAAAACAGAGGAGCAATGAGAAAATCAAACAATAAAAATCTGTAGGTTTATATTTTTTAAAAAAAACCTGCATGACACAACTACCTTAGAAATCCTACCTCTAACAGCTTGCAAATTGTTCCTGCAACATTATTCCATTCACAGGAGCCCTTAGTTCCCCAAAATTAGAACCATTTTTTGAGCATCTAATATTCCTTACTCAGGGGAAAAATAATTTTTCACTATTTTGCAAATCCATGTGCTCAGGAAATTCCTGTTTGTTCAAGACCGCTCATGGATTTTAGTTTGAGATGAATTTGCTGGAGAAGCCTGATATTTTGTACTATATTTTGAATTAACTGGAGTTTGCCAATCAATCTACAGTACTACAATTATTATTTTAAAAAAAAACATGATAGTACAAGCACACTGCTCTAGAATTTCTGCTATTAGGAGCACAGTAATGTTATTTTTGAATGAATTGTATATAATACCAAAACGCTATTTCACATTATGGGACTGATTCGGTTCTTACAGTTTCAAGGCAACCTGGGAACATTTTGAATTGAGCAAGGAACCAATAGAACACAAACTATTCCATCAACTAAAACCAGAGTTCTCTCATAAGATTCCATTAACTATTAACATCACCCCTTTGCCCCAAATAGGCTGTAGAAACTTCTATCAAAGGTGCAAATTAACAGATAATGCATTCCTGCCATGTTTAGAACTACAGTTTAGACTTACTCAGCTTCAAGAACAGCATATACAATATACCGTTCTGCCCCTCATATCTTCACTGTAGCAAGGTAACCAATGAAAGAAGACACGAAGCAGAGATTTATAACAACAAAAGTAATAAAGGCAAAGTTTATGCATTATTGTCTGAAAAGAAATTATGGCATTCTTGAGCAAAAGAGAACATCTTCCTATCATTATCAAGAAAGATCAAAATGGTAATCTGAAACTCATGCAAAAACCAGAAAAAATTCTCTGCATATCCAAGGTACAGTACAATCTCAAACAGCCTTCATTCAAATCTTAGGTTGGATTATACTAAGATGTATGACAGCTGAAATTCAACTATTGATTCTGGAAGGTACCAGTTTGGGGCAATGGCTTTAAAGCTTTCAGTGCCTAGCAGATATTATTCAGAGTCCCCTAATGATCCCTTGATTAGTTTCCATCCCATACCCACACACATTACACTTATCTCTTTTTAAGGGGTGATTTCTTCTATTCACTCTCCCAAATTTTGGATATGTTCATCATTATACCGAAAATTCAACAAAGAAGCATGGGCCAAGAACTGTAAGTTTTGATGAATTGCATTGTTTTCACTTGATGAACTTAATGCGTAGCCTAGTACAGTCTGGCCTATGAAGCAAAAGTGATTCTTTTCATTTTTTTCACTAGCATATATTGTGTACAGATTCAGTGATAATTTCGTATTTACACAATCACTAAAAGGTTCACCATAAAAATCAATAAACATGCAATGTTTTAAACTTTCAATACTTAAACATGACCAATTAAAAAATTAAAAGGTACATGAAATTTGGCCCTAAATGAATTTAGGTACATGAAATTTGGCCCTAAATGAATTTAGATTAATGCTTCTAATTGATGAAAATAAGATACTAACAATGGTGCAGTGGCAGGTAGAACTGCTGGAAAAGCTAATGAGAAAATGTGCCCAAGGAAACCCTAACAGAACAGTAAACAAAGGAGAAAAAATTTAGCAGAAACCAATGTGTCTGCAAAAATAACTTAAGAAAGATCCAATGATAAAAAGGGCACATATATAGGAGTTTTGAAAGGGGGAAGATCACCAAGATTTGCAGATTACCTGGATTTGTAGAGATGGCATAATGAAAACTAAAACTCAGAATGAGCCAAAGTTAAACAAACAATCCTAAGAATCTACCAAAAGGAGGTTCAACATATGCGTACAGCTACAATGTGTCAGCTGGTCAATGAAAACAGTGAAGGCTGCTTGATTCTTATTCAGTCTTGTCCAAAGAGGGCATACATCCTACTGAGCAATTATGAAGAACAGATTGTTTATATTTCACCTAGCTAAGGAACAGTTGTTAAAGGAGTTCACACTCTTAGTTGACAGGTGAGACAGGGCAAGAAAAACCTAGAGTCAAGTCCAACTTTGGCCTCATTGGTGGCTTTGGACCAGTCTTTTATTAGCCCCCCTTTTTCTCACAGAGCTGTTATGAAGAAAAGCAAAGTAGGGTGTTCTATATATTCCTTCTTGAGCTCTTGTGATTTTTCCAAATCACAGGAAGTAATTGTCCCATTCTGTTCTGAACTGAACTTAAGTGAACTTAAGTATTATGTCCACTCCAGTTCTTAGTATTTATTTTATATCACACTTAATCACCCATTTCCCTCAGAGCATTACCCTTATAAGAAAATTTTAAATGACCATAACAAGTAGAAAGAGAAGCAACAAAGATGATCAGGGACTGGAAATCAAGTGCAACAGGAGAGATTGAGGGAACCAGTCAATATTAAGAAAAGATGGCTCACAGAAGGAAATAAATACCAGGCCACAGGAAAATGGTCTTAATTTTCAACAAGCCGTATTCCTGCTGAATGTTAGAATAATTTTCAAATAGGAGGACCAGTTCAACAGTCTAATCAGTTATTGTAAAATAGTAGAGTTTTCCTTCACTGGGAATCTAGTATAATCTGGGCAGACATTTGTTGGAGGTTGGACTCAATGGTTTAAATAAACTGTATCAATGATATAATGTACAATTCTATGACAATCAGGATGATTTTAAGTCTGATGCAAAAGGAATTTGCAGACATGAACAGTAGTGTGTGTGTGTGTGTGTGTACACATGCGCAATATCAGAGAAGTAAATTTTCTCCATCTCAAGCTACCTGTTACTTACCGGAACAAAGTCAATTTATTTTGGAGCAATAACTTCAGTGACAATAGAATTAGAATTCTGTGAGGGGAAGATTTTTATAAATTATCCCAGGCATATATGAAGTTCCAGGCCCTTGCATTTTTAAAACAGATTTTGTATTAAGAGCAGCATATAGTGAACGTAGACATACTATATAAACCATTGTCCAACATGTAAATAATATACGAATAACTCAAATCCAGAATTCTCTCAGGAAAGCAGAACAGTAATGGAAGATGCAATGGGCACCAGAGGCCAATTCGAAAAGCCATCAAGAAAAAAAAGTGTCTGCATGATGAGAATGGGGATCCCCTCATGTCAATGCGATTATTGTAGACACAGGTATAGATACCCATTTTTTTTTCTTGCTCAGAAATGAAAGAAATTGTGCATTGGACATCTGCAGCATGTACTGTTCTCTAAAGCTGTGCAGCAGTTTGGATTCAAAATGGGAATAATGATTCCAGGTAGGGGGAACAGTCCCATAGAACCCATTGAAAACTACTTAAAACCTCTGCATGCTAGTGTTAGCTAGCGCACAATCCCAGGAAAAAAAGACAAATTGCAAATAGATACTATGTGAGTTGCTCTGGATGCTCTTTAGCATTTTCCCCCTTTGGATCCGAAGCATTGCAGAACCTGCTTATGTGAAGACCTTATTATTCTGAATCAGAAATGGAACCCAAATGTGCTTTTATTCTGTGGGTTTTCCCCACCTAATAATCTTGCATGTTCAGTTACTATGAATGTGCTT